TCTTTACAACCATTTATGCCTTTCCTCTTCCTCTCTCTCTTTACTTCTGTAACTAATTATACGAATTTGCAGAGGTGATTACGAGTATCTCTATGTCCATGGTGATGGTATCAAAAGTTACGACTCCTTCCAGTTTTACCATGCAAATTCTGATTTGGCGCGTGCTTCTTGCCAGAATGTTTCAAACAAGATGAAACTTCTGAAGCAGGATCTAAACCTCGTAACTGATGATCAGTCTAATAGCTATGGAAGCTATGGTATGCAGAAGAAGTATGTTTTTGGTGGTATGATGTTTGCTTGCTATGGTCGTGGCAAGCTATTTTTCGGTGAACCTAATGTAGATGCCTCACCTTTCCTGGAGAACTTCCCTGGGATTACCTTCTCAGGAACCTATTGTAATGGAGAAATTGCACATGGAAATTTTAGCTTATACGAAAACGGGTCTAAAGAACATAGCTCTACACGTTGCAGTTTGCACGAATTCAGCACCGTCTACCTGGTTATGTCATATACTCCCCCTACATTGCCACAATTTTAGAGATTTAATTGGTATTGTCTTTTGACAATTTGGTGAACTGGTGGGTAATGGCAAAAGTGTTTTTGCTGGTTTGAATAGGATATTGCTCTGTACTTTTTGGTGTTGGAATTTGGTGGTAGAGGGCAAATGTCTCGTGTACATACTTCACAAGCAATTCTACATTATTTTACTATTGTTTTTGTTCTGTTAATTTAGTTATTAATTGGGAAAGAGTCGAAAACACACTTAAATGAGTTTTATACTTGCACTCACTTATTACTATTAGTTTGAGAATCATCTACCAGATTACACACATTAAGACAATGATTAAAATCTCTAACCATCCACCTCTGTTACTGGCCTTCTCCTTCCTCATTAGTACTGATAACATCAAAGTCTTCTCCTACCAGCCATGCTAGATTGCTATTATTTAGACATTAAATTCCATTGCAATCTTTCACTTTGTGTACATTTAGCATACACTAGTACTATCATCACTTCAATGCCTAATACTTGATTTTGCAGTTTAAAATTTATCATTTTTTCTCTTCATCCCTTACTATTTCATAGTCCACGATTTCATCAATAAAATTTCAAATTTTACAATCTATGTCTGCCTAACCATACTTCATCCAAACTTCCTTCTAAGCTCCTCTAGTTGTTGACTATCTTCAAATGATTCTATAAATCCCGTCATGTAAAATTGGTACCTTGTATGCATATTTATCTGTCTAGTAAACATGTTTTGGGTGTTTGCCAACCTAGTATTTCATATTAAGGTCCTCATAGATATTTAGTGTTTTTGATACTAAGCAAAGATACATGTAAAATATAGTAACTTTAGATTGTGTATCTAATTTTGTAACAAAATATTGTATGATATATTATAAGAATACGATATTCTCAGAATATCTTTAGGAACGATTTTAGAAGTAGGAGATTCAGTCTCATGTATATATATATTCTTTTTTTCTGAAATGAGAATGTAGAGTCAGATTCTTAAAACACTAATAATTGTTTTTATATGATATCGGAGCCATGGTAGGGGATGAAGAATGACTAAGAAATGAACCAACCAAAAAGAAAATGTCGGAATATTAAGAGGATTCAACAACAAGGTGTGTACCTTGTAATTCACAGCGGAAGTCATCAATTTGCTTCTTTGATAGGTTGGTGTTCAAGTCTATCTTTGAATCACTAGAAAACAAAGATTTTTGTTCACAAACTAGAAGTCTGTTTTTGTGTGTTGATGAATCTATTTGAGAAACTCAATACTTTTGTTTGTAGACTGACGCTTGATTTTTGATTTTCTATTTCACAGGTTTTCCTCTCTTTTCATGTTTAACGTTCCACTTCTCATGTCTCACGTCTCACGAAAACTGCTCCTACTAGGAGTCTTTTAAAGAGGAGTTGAACATTTACATTGTAACTGTTCAGTCTTATTCTTTAAATGATTTATCCTAATTAATTAATTGGATGAGTCCCAAGGGCGACCCACGACCCAAGACTTACATCTTCCACTTCACACATGGTGGACAAGACCCAAGTCAAAATTATATCAATCAGACACACAATTGATACGACAAATAGTTTGTGCGACCTATGTGAGCACGAAGAACTTATCTTTAAGGTTTTACAAGCCTAATGTATGAATTCAATCACATGTGGAAAGAGTTCACTACTTTTAAAGGACACTATTACTCACAATACCCTAGACGTCATTCACTACTTCAGTAGTTACTTATTCGATCCCCCAACCTCTTAAAGAGGTGAACTCGAGTTCATGTTTAACTTTATACACACAATAACACTTGAATGTAATAGCCGACTTATGTATACAAGTTAAATTGTTCATTTAATCGTCTTACCTTTCTACTCGAATCTATGTGTTCCATAAACACTGCTTTTCTAGACATGTACTGCATGGCTGAATAATTCATGTCTATTAGTAACATGCTAAAGTAGCAACACCGATTGAAACTTCAAGAAATAGCTAAAGGTCAAAGGGCATTTCATTGAAAAGTTATTTTAACTTTTTTTGGGTCTCACACAATAAAAAAGCAGGGAATATTCTTTCATTGACCCATTGGTCACTAGACACACGTGGTATGAAACACATGCTACGACATTTACGCCTTAAATTGGTGTATGTGTCTCATTCTATTGATTATTCAACACCGTACAAACCTTGGTCTAAACATCGAGATGTTTAACCCTAGTTTCTCTCTTCAGTGATCTTTAAGCTCATTTCTTGGAGAAACTTTTGTCTGAATCAAAAAACAAGTCATAAAATGGTGGTGAAATTTATCCCCTCATGTTCCCGATGTAAGAGGCGATTGCTCGTATGAGAGAGCCAATCTCGCGACTTGTTCGACCCATTATATATCTTACATATTACTACATGCATACTACATTTGAACATAAATTCAATAATTGTATATAAAAGATAATATCATAACAATCAAGACAGTTTACAATACTGAAATATCATCATACTCTACGTAAACCTAGAGCCTTAACATATTTTTCAAACAAGTCTTAAAGGATGATCTTCATTAAAAAAATCAACTATCATTTCATGTGTATGAATGTATAGTAAAGTTATTTCTCCACTTGCCACTACGTCTCTCACAAAGCTATACTTGATGTCAATGAGATTGGTTCTTCTGTGATACTTAAGATCCTTTTTGTGCACGATAGTTGCTTGACTATCATAATGTAGAAATATTGGACCCTTAGAATTCTTTGTAATACTCAAATGTTCAAAGAATCTCTTTGATCAAACAACTTTTTGTAATGCATATAGACATGCCACAAATTCAGGTTCCATGGTTGAAAGTGCTGTGAAGTTTGCTTCTTACTTTTTCATGAAATAGTACCACCATTTAGTAACAAAGCAAAATCCGATGTTTGATTTCTTATCATCTCAGTCACCAGCCAAATCATCTTCTGTATAACCTTTTATGAATAGATCAGATCCACTATAATTCAGTGTATGATTTGCAGTTCTCATCAGATATCAGAATATTCTCTTTACTGCTTTCCAGTGATCTTTTTTAATAATGGATTGATATCTACTAACTAGACTCACGGCATAACAAATGTCTGGGCGAGTACACATCATAAAATACATCGAACTCCCGACTGCACTAGAATAAGGAACTCGAGACATGTCTTTCTATAGACCTAACCGGTTTACATTTAACTTTAATAATTCATTTATTCCCAGTAGCTTAACGTTCCTTTGGAAGGTCAACTAGAGTCCATACTTTGTTGGTTTTCATAGACTCTAATTCTTCTTTCATCGCTTTTAACCATTCGTCCCTTTTAGGGATTGATAAAGGCTTTGTTACAGAATTATGTTCATCAAATTTCGTAGGAGATACCAAGAAAACATATATTTGAAGTTCAAATTCCTCTATAGGATTTTGGGATTCATAAATCTCACTTGGACCAGGAACCATTTCTTGATTCATTAAATTATCAAGTATGTTTGACAACATTATCTGATCTTCTAAATTTAATATTTCGTACAGAGGTTGGGATTCATAACTCTCATTTGGTCCAGAAATCATTTCTTGATCCATTGAATTATCAAGTATGTTTGACAACATTATCTGTTCTTTTGAATTCAACATTTCGTACAGAGGTTGGGATTCATAACTCTCACTTGATTGATGAATCATTTCTTGATCCATTGAACTATCAAGTATGTTTGACAACATTATCTGATCTTCTGAATTCAACATTTCGTACAGTGGTTGTGATTCATAACTCTCATTTGGTCTAGAATCGTTTCTTGATCTATTGAATTATCAAGTATGTTTGACAACATTATCTGATTTTCTGAGTTCAACATTTTGTACAGAGGTTCAACTTCATTCATATATCTTTTAAAGCACTCAAGTTCTTTAATGAAGTATGAGCATCACACCTTGCTTTTACATTTATTGGACGACAAATATTAATTGAAGTGGGAATTTAGCTCTCTTAGCCTCTCAAATGATTTATGCGTAATCTTTCCAGCAAGACAATTATCATAAGTTGACATTTCAGTTTTAGTGAAAGAACCTAAATGCCCTTCTTTTGCCAACTATTTCATTCAATATTGTCCTATGTGACCTATTGTAGCATGTTATGACTGTTATTGGCATATAATTAGGCAAGAATTTTAATAAGTATGCATGTGACATACACATTCAAGCAAATCAATTCTCATAAAGGTTTCATATTTAAATGTAAAATCGAAAAGATACTTAAGTATCCATTCATCATTTATAAATTAAACATTTAACCAATATTTAAAATTAACTTCTTAATGTGTACGCTAATGTATTTTAGACTATAATCACAAATTTTCATGTCTTATTATTAAACACCATATAATATTGTGCAATAGAATAATCATTCACTCATCCAAAATAAAAGAGAATAAAACTTAAAAAATCATATCAAAGCACAATTAAAGATGTTCACTTTAAAGTTTAATAAAAAAATATTTAAATTGATAAAAAAGGAAGTATTGGATACATTGTGGGTGAAGTTTTAAGTTTTACCCACTTAACTCCTATTATTACATAGTACTTTCATAATTTTTTAGTATCCCCAATTTCAATTCTAACTTCATTAAGTTCATTCTTCCAGTATTCTGGCAAGGAATTATTCAAAACATCATACCCTTTTTACTCTCTGAAACTTGTTCACTTTCATTAAGCTTTTCAAAATTTTGACAAAGATCTGGAGGAATCCTATTAAACAACCAAGGAGATCCATCTTCAAAAACTTAAACTCTCTTAGATATTTTTCTTTTTTTCTTCGAATGGTCCTTTCACTCCTTAACATACTTTGTGTCTCTTTTGGGACACCAATCTGTACGACTTTTCGCCCTCGAAAAACACATCTTACGGAGGATTGCTCATTGACCTCTTCCTTTTGCTCTACTTTGAGAACTCCCACTTGGAGTAATTTGAGCATGTTCCTTTTCAGCCATATATGAAATTGGAACAAAAAGAAATATGGTTAATCCATTTAATGTGACAACATATGTTACAAATTTCTCATAAAAGGCAAGCAACTGTTTAAGAAACATTAGGAGTAAATGAATACACAAGACCAATAAAATCCTAAAGAGGACACATATAAAAATGATTCTGAATAGGTTTTTTTTAAAAAAGTTTTTTTTAGTCCAACTTAAAAAATTCATATCTTACTTGTTTTAAGTCTGTTTGCAGACATGTATAAACTGCACAAAAAATTTCCAAATTGCTCCAGACAGATGCAGTTTTTCGAAAAACTATAAAAAAAAACAATCAAAATTCTCAACAATTCGTATCTAACTCATTTTAGTTCTGTTTCTCTATTATAATATTTTTTCGGAAAGATATGCACAACCGAATTATGATTGGATAAGTTTCGACCAAAAATATCTTCCAACCCATTTTCAAATTGCTATCAAACAGAAGCATTTTTTTTTAAAAAAAAAATTGTCGAGTTATTTTCATAGTAGGACAAGTAATCCTTTCTCTTTCATGATTCACAACCAAATAGGATTCTGAATCCTATTTTCCATATTATTAATTCATAATTAAACATCAAATAAAAGCTTAAAATTTTTTTCCAATTTTTTTTCTTCTTCTTTCTATTCACTGATTTTTAAAAGAAATATACTTAATTTATTTTCTTAAAACATAGTGAATATCGAAGAAAGTAACGCATAATTAGATTAATAACAATGACTCTGATATCATTGTCAGAATATTAAGAGGAATTAAGAACAAGATGTGTACCTTGTAATTCAAAGTGAAAGTCGTTAATCTGCTTCTTTGACAGGTTGGTGCTCAAGTCCATCTTTGAATCACTAGGAAACAAAGATTTTGTTCACAAACTAGAAGTCTGTTTTTGTGTGTTGATGAATCTGTCTTAGAAACTCAATACTTTTGTTTCTAGACTGAACACTTGATTCTTGATTTTGTTTCACAATTTTTCTCTCTTTTCACACTTGATGTTCCACTTCTCACGTCTCACTAAAATTGCTCCCACTAGAAGTCTTTTAAAGAGAAGTTGAACATTTACATTGTAACTGTATAGTCTTATCCTTTAAAGGATTTATCCTAATTAATTAATTAATTAATTGGATAAGATATTAAAACAGATTGGGTTGGGTCGGGTTGGTCCACGTGGGCGACCCACGACCAAAACTTATAGAAAATCTCACCTTATCATTTGACTTTAAACAACAACCCAGATAACTTGATTACGGAAGTACAACTGCGGGGAGAAAATCATGAAGAATGAGATCATGCAATGAGGTGCTTGAAGGAAATATGAATTTATTGACGGAACCGGTAGAAGGGTCGTCTGTGTTGGAGGACTGGTGAACCTTTTAATCCATGATAGTATCATGGATTCAAAATACTACCGAACCAACTTTGCTTTCAATCATATCACATAGAATGTAAAAAAAATCTCTGCAAAGAAATTTATCATCAAGTGGTGCTTTATTTTTTTGGACAATTGTAGATGACTATTCCATGCAATATGAATATTTTTGTTAATTAATAAGGAGGTGTCACACATGATGTTGCCATCATGGAAGGAAAAACAATATAATAATGAAGTTAAAATTATTCCAAATGATAATGGGATGAAATTTACTTGCATGAAAAAATATTTTCTAGAACAAAGAATAGTTTTCAAAGTTCTTGTGTCAAAACCCCACAAAAAATCATGTTCATCTTGAATGTATCACGATCAATGAGACATCTTCTAATTATTTTTTTGGAAGAATGTGTGTCCGCCGTAGGTTACTTGATAAATAGAACTCTTTTTCTTTAATTATAAACGGAAAAACAATGTATGAAATTTTGCATGGAGAGCTTCCTTCTTATGGGAACTAGATAACCTTTGGTTCACTGTGTTATGCTTATAATCAGGAAAGAAAAGGGATAAATTTTCAAGTAAGAGTCGTAAATATATTTTTGTTGGATACCCATACAAAAAAGGGTTGGAAATTGTATGATCTTGAAACAAATGAATACTTTTTTTTATAGACATGTTGTATTATTTTAGAATGAATTCTCATATATCCAACAAGTTCCAGTTCTTATGAGAAAATTGAAAATGTTGTTATTGATAATGGATTTGTTTATGATTGTTTTGAGAGAGATATTGGATTTGAGCATCGCGAACACCAACCAGTGATTAATATGTCTGATTCACAAGTTAATGAGGTGCAAGATGCTCAAGAAATGAAGAAAGAAGACATGTCTAGTATCCAAGAGGTAGAGGGCCGCGAAGAACAAAATAATGAACCTTAATTGGATCGTGGATATCGAATAAAACAACAGTATGCCTTTCTATGTAATTATGTTACTAATACCATCCGAAAATTGAGTCCTTCCACTAGCTCATATCCTACAATGCATACCTCATGTACGCCTTACCCAATAACACATTATGTGAATTGTGATAAATTTTCTTTGCTATATCAAAATTTTCTTGCAGCTATTACTACACATCATGAGTCATTATTCTTCTCAAAAGTATTGAAAGATGAAAGGCGAAGACAAGCAATGCAGACTGAAATTGAGGCTCTCAAAAAGAATGAGGCATGGATAATTGAAAAATTACCACATGGAAAGAAAGTACTCGGGTGCAGGTGAATTTATAAAATAAAATATCATTGTGATGGTTCTATGGAGCGACATAAAGAACGACTTGTAACATTTGACAATCATCAAAAAGAAGGAATTGCCTATAATGAAACATTTGCTCCAGTTATCAAAGTGGTTACAATGTGGACATTTGTAGATGTAGCTGCAACAATGCAATGGGAGTTGCATCAAATGGATGTTCATAACACTTTTCTTCATGGAGACCTTCAAGAATTATTGCACATGAATAAACCACCAGGCTTTAATGTACAACATTTTGATATGGTTTGTAGACTATAAAAATCAATGTATGAAATGAAGCAAGCCCAATATGTTGGTTCACAAAGTTATCAACTTCCTCGAATGAGTGTGGTTTCCTGAAATACTACTCCGACTACTCATTGTTTACTTTACAAATGAATGACATACAAATAAATGTTCTTATTTGTGTGTATGATTTGATAATTTCAAAGCACGTTGAAGTATTTTTTGTGCATTGAAGTTGCTAGAAATTTATAAGGCATTTTCATATGTCCACATAAGTATGCTTTGGATATTATTTCTGAAGTTGGATTACTAGGAGAGAAACCTGCAAATGTTCCTATGGAGTCAAACCACAAGTTAGACTTAGCGAAAGGAAGCATACTTGCTGATCCAAAAGGTATCGACAATTAGTAGGTCGTCTCATATATTTGCGCTTCACTAGATCATAGTTGTCCTATTGTATACATATACTATCCCTATTGCCAACGTCAGGAGTTGTTCGATTTTTGAAAAAACCTCGACAAGGAATCTTATTGCGTAGTGGATGGTGCAATTCAGATTGGGCATGTTTTCCTTTAACTTGATGATCTCATTGGGTGGTTTGTTCTCTTAGACAAGTCACCAATATCTTGGAAGATTAAGAAGCAACAAATGGTGTCCAGGTTAATTACAAAAGCTGAATACAAATCTATCACTATCACAACTTGTGAATTAAAGTGGCTAAAGAGAATTTTGTCCAGTCTAGGGGTGACACATCCTACTCCAATAAAACTATATCGTGATAGTCAATCGATGCTACATATAGCACAAAGTTCAGTATTTAATGAAAGGACAAAACATATAGAAATACTTTGTCATATTCTCTGAGATGAGAGAACAATTCATCCAACATATGTTTCCTCTAAAGTTCAACTCGCAGATATTTTCACAAAAGCATTAAGAAAGCATTAGTTTGACTACCTTATTTGCAAGTTGGGCATTCAAAATCTTGACGTACCAACTTGAGGGGGTATTAAGCAAAGATCTGTGTAAATATAGTAACTTTAAATTGTGTATCTTATTTTGTGAAAAATATTCTATGAGATATTATATGATATACTATAAAAATAAGATATTCAGAATATTTTTTAGGAACAATTTTAGGAGTAGGAGATTCAATCTCATGTATATATATTCTTCTTTTCTGGACTGAGAATGTAGAGTCAGATTCTTAAAATACTAATCACTGTATTTATATTTGACAATTGTTCTCTTTGATTGTCTTGATGATGCTTGAATAGTAGTGATTTCTCTTCCTTCTTGTTTCTTTTGCTTGGCACGTCTCCTTTATTTTGTCTATTTGTTCAAGCAACAAATATCCTTCTTTGGTCATCATTGAATTGTTTTGTGATAAATCACTTTTGTCCATCTCTATTTTGACTTTAGCATAACTAGGTCTAGTTCGATTTCTCATAGCTATGTCAATCGTTAGTGTTTCATTCATTACTGCTATCGAGGTAATTGCCTCATTGGAAAAAAGATTTAGTGATAGATTTAGGAAAGGATATGCATGTCATTCATATCGTTGTTTTTACGTCAGATTCAAAGTATAGATCCCATAATCTTTCAAGTTCGTGAGTCTGGTCACTATATATCTCGTATTCAATACCTCTATTATGTACTTACTCTTAATTTCACATTGACCTAGTGTTGTAGTTTTTCGTAAGAGAATTTACCTATTGTAGATTTTCCTGAATGGTATCACTACAACACGTTAATAACTTAGTGCTAATAATTTTTTCAAGAAAATACTACACAAGGTCTAATTTAAAATTAAGGGATAATTATATAACTAAGCTAACATTTACTACTTAATTATGTTATATGACTATAGTTCAAATTAATTATATAAAAAGGTTATTGTTTAAAAAATGATTATAATGGGTCTCACTTTTTTTTATTTGTACTGGAGGGGTGAATTTCAATTACCATTTTATACAAACTTGCACTCAATTTCTTTGTTTCACTTTTTCCTAATTGTCTCCTTAATTCTCTCAACCACCATAAACCCCTCAATCCTCACAAATCTCTAAAACAAATTAAATTTATATTTTAAAATCTTAAAATTAATTCTCATTCAATTCAATTCTAGGTAATTTTTTTCTTTTGTACATTCATCAATTTATTATTTCTATTTGTATAACTTTTCATTCTACCCAACTTCTTCACAGTTCTTCAACCAAGAATTGTAATCGATTGGAATTGTAATCCCTATCAGTATAGTCGTGGAGGAATAATCTTCATCAAAGAGAATTTGTACAAAATTTATCTTTTTTGTTGGGTTTTACTCAAGACTTTGAATGTTCTACGATGTTTGGATATGTATGCATGAATTTTATCCTGAGGTGTTTGATGTGTAAAAGCATGCAGATTGAAGGATTATTCTCTAGGAAGTTTCCATAGTTCATGGAGAGAATAGGGAGTCCTCAACTGAGTTTGTTTCTGCAAACATGAAAAAACATTTTCAATTTTATTACTAATGTTTGGATATCTTTATTATTTTTACTGCTGGTACTTCTCTTTTCTAGATGTAGTTGTTGAATCTATCTTTGAAAATGCTTTTATTGAACCGATGGTCTATCAGAAATAAACTCTCTCTCACACACACAAGGTAGGGTAAGGTTTGCATACACCTTTTCCTACCCAAACCCCACTTGTGGGATCACACTGGGCATACTGTTGTCATAGTTGAACTGTTGTCGTTACAACTATTTATGCCTTTCCTCGTCCTCTCTCTCTCTACTTCTGTAACTAATTATATGAATTTGCAGAGGTGATGTCGAGTATATTTATGTCCATGGTGATGGTATCAGTGATTTCGACTCCTTTCACTCTTACCATGCAAATCCTGATTTGGCGTATGCTTCTTGCAACAATGTTTCAAACGACATTAAGCTTCTGAAGCAGAATCTAAACCACCTAACTGATGATCATTCTAATAGTAATGGAAGCATAGGTATACAGAAGAAGTATGTTTTTGGTGGTATGATGATCGCTTGCTATGGTCGTGGAAAGTTATTGTTCGGTGAACCTAATGTAGATGCCTCACCTTTCTTGGAGAACTTCCCTGGGGT